TCCAAACATTGTCCAAAGCTCAAAATGTATTGTAATAGATGTAAGAATTCTCAAAATGTACAATATGTTTTGATCCAACACAATATTCTGATTCAATCCATATATGTTAGGGGTTTTTTTTTTCACCAAAATAAATAGACTGCCTTCTCTCCAGCTCACCGCACACAAAGGGGGGGGGGGGGGGGGGGGGGGGGGGGGCATCTGTATTAACGGGTCAGTCTATAAGCACTCTAATAGCACCATAAATTACATTTAAATAACCACAAAAAGACAATTATTGTTTCCGATATTGATTTAACGAGATGCTGTTATAACATGGAAACGGCTTAATTTAAAAAAATAAGCTTCAAAAATGTTTTATGAAGCACACTGGGTACAGCCCTGTAATACATGTGTTCCGTGTGTATATAGTCTTACGCAAGAAACACATAGCATGAACAGACTGCAACAAAACCAGTCTTACAAAACAGACTTCTGCTAAACTGGTGCAGAAGCAAAGCATCTACCTTAGATGAAGTTCACACAGAACTGTGGAAAAGGGAGAACATCTGTACTTGCTTTCAACGACATGATCAGGCTTATATATTATAAAAGTGTTGGCTAAAGTAACGCAGAATATATATATTTTTTAATTGTAAATAATTAAGTACACACACATAACAAGCTGTACCGAGTTCCTCCGGCTGCAGTTCCGCAGACGGCCGGTGTGTGGCAGCATAGCGCTGGGAGCAGAGGGAGGTGAGTATATGACGGATATGACGGATGACGGATGCGACGGAAATACACCCGAACATATTTGGTAGGCCGAACATATCTGGTACTGACACCTGGTATTTTTTAATTGTAAATAATTAAGTACACACACATAACAAGCTGTACCGAGTTCCTCCGGCTGCAGTTCCGCAGACGGCCGGTGTGTGGCAGCATAGCGCTGGGAGCAGAGGGAGGTGAGTATATGACGGATATGACGGATGACGGATGCGACGGAAATACACCCGAACATATTTGGTAGGCCGAACATATCTGGTACTGACAGCGGACGCAAAACACGGCAAGAACGGAAGTGGGTTGGTCTGGGCACCAGCGAACAAGAGGCCGCCAGCTAGAAGCCTCTGCTCCTTTATAGGGTGCCCCCTGGCGGTGATAGGCTAAAAATAATATGCCTTACAACACTATTTACTGCTCATCCTGCCACACACACAAAAATGAATAGGTTAACTGTAGATCTAAAAGACTAAAATACACTGATCTGGTCTGCAGAGTAGCTTAAGAAACTCACAAAAATCATCAGTTAAATGATAAATTGTACTCCTATCATGATTTCTCCGCTAATCCCTTTCTACTTTGTTTCAAGAAACAAATATGTTTCTTTTAAGCTCACACAAACAGGATGCAGGACTTCTTTGCTTCTTAGCTTCACCTCAGTTTATATCAAGTCTTTTGTATTTACCAAATACTTTATATCTTTATTGTGACAGTATTGTTGGGCCAACCATTCATGATTTCACAAAATCTTTACACAATGACAATTTTTATAAATAAAATGATAAGTGGGCGGAGCCAAATAATACAAGAGTTTGGTCAATCAAGACAATTAAATCACTTTACTGTAATTTAGCCTTTCAACTCAGGATAAGACAACACTTACAATAACCCAAAATATGAAACAATATAGTCTCATTTCACTATATTGATAAAGTATAGATATAATATGTAGCAGTGGCGAGCCGTCAGGGCCCTCTAGGCCCTCTGTGAGGGCCTAAGATATTAAAAATAATAATATTTGAAAACATTAAAAAAAAATATTTTTTTTTTTGTTGTTACATTTTTCATTAGTTTTACCAAAATAACTTGATTTAATTGTATTTAAAATAATATTTTCAAAGAAATAAATCCTTCGAATCTGCCTGTTCAGTTTCTGTTGGAATGTGAAGGGTTAAATGCTGTCTCTGCGAGTTATGTGAAGACGGGAGGGCTTGTTGGTCCCTCTCTACATTCACAGAGGGCCAGCTATAGTAAAACAACGAGAGAGTAATGTCAAATGACAGTACAATTGACCAATCATATCTTCCCTCTAAATGGGCGGGCTTTATTTTCGTGGACTTTATGACAAGTTCCGCCCGCTGTGAGGTCTATGCAAGTGGTGCAGTGACGCGTCCTAAAACTCGGAAGTAAGCTGCGCTCGGATTCCCGAGAAAGCAGTGGGATTTCTCCATAGGATTTTGGAAAATAGCTCGAAATAAGGTCTGTGGAAAACGACCCTGTTATGCACGTTTTGTTCAGCCGGATAATATCCACATGTCTATCCTAGTTTTATTATTTTTGAATCATAAATCTAATCGATAGATTTATGATCGATATATTTATGATTAGCATAAGTTTGTTCATGATGGCTCACTTCAGTGATAGTGATGACATCGTTGCGAAATTATTAACCGAGTCATTTTCAAGATTGAGTTACAATGATAAACTGGAGTGGCAAAGGATCAGCTGCATGACCCGCCATCAAGTGCTTCATCCAAAAGGACAGGAGGATGGACTTTGTGTTTCAGTGATTTGATCATCAAAGGTAGGCCTAAGTCATTTTCAATGCGGGCCGCCGTGCCGACTTAATTCATTTGTAATTGGTACTTGGCTGTGGGTGCCCTGTCATGATAGGTGTTTATATAAATGATGTTGTTTTGTGTGGTAGAGGGTCGCTGTCATTGATGCGTTTTGCACCCCGGACCACTGTTTTGATATTCCGCTGAAGTCTACGTTGAGACGTAATATCTCTTCTTTTTTTCGAGGGAAGTGGGGTCAGAGGGCCTAGGTATAAAAGTCACGGCTCGCCACTGATATGTAGGGATGTAACGATATATCGAATATTGCGGTAAATAAATGTCTCAATACCGTCGTGAGACTGACAAAATCTACCAAGATTTAAAAAAAATGTTTATATATATATATATATTTTTTTAAATACTTTTTTTTTTTTAAACCTTTATTCAACCAGATGGTCCCATTGAGATCATCGATCTCTTTTTCAAGGGAGGCCTGTTCAACATGGCAGCAAGTAGGTTACAACATGAACATAAAACAACAGATAACACAAAAGGACATCGTATTTACAGGGCTACATGTACATACCTAGAGACATTGACAAGTACCAACAGTATATTTATATCTCGCCCTGTCAATAAGCCTCACCTTCTTGGCAAAAACGGTATTGTTTTTGAAGTGGTGGAGAGACAATGCACAGTTTTACCCACTGCTGTCACCCATGGCCAAAGCATATCTCTCTGTCCCAGCAACATCAGTACCAAGCAAGAGAGTTTTTTCCACAGCAGGGGATATTGTAAACGCCCAAACATCCCAGCTTCTACCTGGAAATGTGGACATGCTCATATTCCTAAAAGATAACCTTGATGATGCTGAGTGAGTGAGTTAGAGTTGAGTTAGCCTATACTAGAAAAACTAAAGTGAAACTTGATTTATTCTATTGCAGGGTCTGATTATTATATTGTTGACACTTTAAAATACTACTATCCTACCAAAATGCTGTACAAATCAGATTTATTATTTAATAAAGAAAAAATAATTCAAGTAAAAAAAATAATAAACATTTTTTTTCTTTATTTTTCAATATCGCGATAAATATCGTACCGTGGACTTTTTATCACGATATTATCGTACCGTGAGTTTTTGGTATTGTTACATCCCTAATAATATGGCCCAGCCCTGTTGGAGCAGATATCTCTGCTCCGCGCCGATCCTATATGAGTTTGTTTTAAAAGAAGGAAAACTCAAAACAACCAGGATAGGGGTTAAACAATAATCTGTTTTAGTGATAAAAGGTAAGAATACAATACACTTCTCAAAGGGGTAGGCCCACCCCTGCCCTGGTCCTAATGCCGGGAGAACATCATCATCTTGACGGCAGGAGGAAAAGAGACCGGACACAAGGACTCAACAGGAGATATTGTAAGAACAACGGGAGGAGCTGTGTGGATGGTCCTCCCATACAGGTCATCTATTGGCCCATATACAAACGATGGGCTTTCGTAGCGTATCAGCGCGAGCCAGCAGAGGACCTGGAAACAAGAGTCTCTTCGTTTGTAGCAAAACACATCTGGTGTCCGTTATCACACATTTTTGCATAGACTTTCACACACACCCTTTCTGCACATTCCAGAGACTTGAGTTGTGTCTAAAGAATATTCCCTTGCTCACATCTTACTCCAAATACAATGGTTTTACTCCTCATATTTTCAACTTCCTTGTTACACAGACTATTATTATTGATACAAAGTAATTAAACACACACATCTACTTATTCAAGATATGTAGACTTCCCTGACCTGCTGGAGATCTTAAGAAGAATGCCTCCTGTCCTGCATAACTGCACCCCCTTTATACAGAGTAATAAAACATGTTTAAGCTAACTACTCCACAATGTTGTAGCCATTTAGTACTCACAACCTGAAAGAATAAAACAGAAAGAAATCAACAAAACACAAACACCGGTATCGTTCAGCATAATGAATACATACATCTCATCCTGCAGTCCCTCATGAATGTCACATGTCTTTCTTTATGAAAGCCATATTTGTAAATGTTTAACCGTCATGGGGCCACAAGATCAGTCAACTAACCAAAGTTAACTGTCCTTGTAGCCTAAAGCCATCGCTGAACTCCCTCTCACCTCAAGGTCAGATTACTGGACTGAATACATTTATTGATAATTCAGACCTTAACTGTGTGACTCAATTCTCAAGGCCTCTCTGGTCTGCCAGACATGCCTCATTAACCAACAAGAATGTAACTGCATTAAATCTGAGGAAAATCCCCCTTTGGCTTCCCTATTTGCACAGACTATTGATAATTAACAGAGAAACTCAAGGGGCCTCTTTTAATATCTGGAAATTGCAACAAGACTTTCTGCCATTCAAATCCAACACTTCTTATATATCAGATGATATAATCTTCAGCCCTCATTGCTATGTTTCTATGTTTCCCAGGCAAAGTGTTGGTGCACTGCCATGTAGGAGTGAGCCGCTCTGCCACCCTGGTCCTGGCTTACCTGATGCTGAAGCACAACCTGAGCCTCGTGGAGGCCATTTGTGCGGTGAAACAAAACCGGGGGGTCATCCCTAATCGAGGTTTCCTCCGACAGCTCATCAGACTGGACGGCCAGCTCTTTGGCAAACACTGAACGCTGCTGGGTAGCATGTTGAGCAGATCCAGAACATGAGGGAAATAACATGGTAAAGAAAGCTCAAGTGTGCCGCGTATTATTATATTTTGAGATACATTTAAAAGCATTTCTAGTACTACTATTTATATATATTCTGTCAATTTGTACATGTAAGGGAAACTTCTGCAGCAATGGAGAGTCAGGACTCAGAGAGACACGAGGAGAGTTGGAGCTTTGATGTCAAACACCGGTAGTTTATTACAAGTCAACGGCCGGAGAATTCATATCACAAGTCACAGCAGCAAAAGGTTCTGACTGCACGGGTGGGTTGTCATGTCAATTCTGCCCAGCCTATCTCTCGATAGACCTTTTAACTAGTTTACAGAGAGTTAATCAGCATATTGGGGGAGGCGTAAACATCTGTGGAGCTACAGGAGATATCCCCCAACTGGAAATACTCAATCACTTGTCAGTGGTGTTTAGAAGCCAGCATTCTCACAGTCGTAAACCCCCCTATCAGGCCATAAAACTGACACTTAAGTGCTGGAGCACATTCCTTAAAGGAGATAACAGAATATTGGTTGGTTATTAACGTCAACAGGCAATAAGGTTAAATATCTAGGAGTAAAAACAAAATTATTCCCTCACAGTACATGTTAATGAATTGTGTGTTTTTTTTTTTTTAAATGTCTTGCAGACAATCGGTGCTACAGAAACAATATCACATAAAATACATATGTTATTCAAAAAAACTGTTTGTTTACAAGTCCATGTGTGCAAAGTGTCTATTCTGAGAGGCTAGTTGTGAGACATGTCTCCATATGTTTCTGTTTCAATGAGTTTCAGATATTACTAATCTTTTCAGCATCTGTTGAGCTGCCTCTTGTTGCATTCTGAACTGATTCAATCCCTGCTTTTTTCTTTTATGTGCAAGGCTTAATTTTCTTAACCTGATCAGCTTTTGAATGCCATCAGTTCCCTTAGGCTCTGTTTGATTCTGCTTGTCTTTTTTGGCGAGACTCTATAAAATGCTTCAAGTTGCTTTATCAACATGAACACATTTCAATACAATGAGCCAATCTGCTTTGTTTATGTCCTCTGAGAGGGAAGCTTTGCTTTAGTTTTCAGAGATCCATGAAAAAGAAATGTTCTTGTTAGGTGCAAGTATCACAGAATGATTGCTAAGATGGCCTTCTCCCACTTTTGCTCATACTGCTACTTTTTGACGCCAAACTACGACCTATAATAGTTTGAATAAAGATGTAACTTGTCGGTTCACTAATTAACAGGGGAGTGAGAAAATAGACACTTATTATTACATTATTACATTGCATTTAGCTGACGCTTTTATCCAAAGCGACTTACAATAAGTGCGTTCGACCAACAAAATACAACTTGAAGAAAACAGAATCATATAAGTACATCAGGCTTCATAGAGCAAAAACATTTCAAGTGCTACTCAACTGGCTTTAGGTAAGCCAGTCCTTTATTAGTATAAAAGTGCTTCGTTAATAGTTCTATCGCTCGAAGTGGAGTCGAAAGAGATGAGTTTTCAGTTTGCGCCGGCAGATGTGCAAGCTATCTGCCGTCCTGATGTCAATGGGGAGCTCATTCCACCATCCTGGAGCCAGGACAGCAAACCCACGTGTTTTTGCCGATGGGAACTTGGGTCCCCCTCGCAGCGAGGGCGCAGCGAGGGCGCAGCGAGGGCGCAGCGAGGGCGCAGCGAGTCGTTTGGCTGATGCAGAGCGTAGTGCACGCGCTGGGGTGTACGGTTTAACCATGTCCTGGATGTACGAAGGGCCAGATCCATTCGCAGCATGGTAAGCAAGTACCAGTGTCTTGAAGTGGATTCTAGCAGTTACCATAAGCCAGTGAAGGGAGCGGAGGAGCGGAGTAGTGTGGGAAAATTTAGGAAGGTTGAAGACCAGACGAGCCGCTGCATTCTGGATGAGCTGCAGAGGTCGGATGGCACATGCAGGTAGACCAGCCAGGAGGGAGTTGCAGTAGTCTAGGTGTGAGATGACGAGAGCCTGGACCAGAACCTGAGTCGCTTTCTGTGTCAGCTGGGGACGTATCTTCCTGATGTTGTAAAGCGTGTATCTGCAGCAACGGGTTGTAGCAGCGATGTTTGCAGTGAAGGACAGGTTGTTATCTAGGGTCACACCCAGATTCCTTGCAGTCTTAGTCGGGGAAACAACTGAGGTGCCGATGTTGATTGTTAGGTCAAGAGTGGGACAATCTTTTCCCGGAAGGAAGAGCAGCTCAGTCTTGTCAAGGTTGAGCTTGAGGTGATTAGCAGACATCCACTGAGAGATGTCAGCTAGACAAGCAGAGATGCGTGCGACGACCTGGGTCTCTGAGCGGGGAAAGGACAGAATTAATTGGGTGTCGTCAGCGTAGCAGTGGTAAGAAAAACCATGCGGGCTAATGACTGATCCGAGCGAGTTTGTGTACAGGGAGAAGAGGAGGGGACCAAGAACAGAGCCCTGAGGGACCCCTGTAGTTAATTGACAAGGGTCGGACTCAGACCCTCTCCAAGTCACCCTGTAGGTACGGTCTTTCAGGTATGAGGTGAGGAGGGAAAGTGTTGAGCCTGAAACTCCAAGTTTTTGGAGAGTGCGAAGGAGGATCTGATGATTCACCGTGTCGAATGCAGCAGACAGGTCCAACAGGATGATGACAGAGGAGAGGGATGCAGTTTTGGCAGTGTGCAGTTCTTCCATGACAGCAATGAGAGCAGTTTCTGTGGAGTGACCTGCCTTGAAACCAGACTGGTGCGGATCCAGAAGGTTGTTCTGATTGAGATAACAGGAGAGTTGTTTAAAGACAGCGCGTTCAAGTGATTTAGACAGGAACGGGAGGAGAGAGACAGGCCTGTAGTTTATAACATCAGACGGGTTGAGAGTGGGATTCTTTAGGAGAGGGTTTACTCTTGCCTCCTTGAGACTGTTTGGAAAGTGACCAGAAGTTAGATTAGTGTTGATGAAGTGGGTGAGAAACGGTAGAATATCAGGAGCGATAGTCTGAAGGAGGTTTGAAGGGATAGGGTCCAGAGGACAGGTGGTAGGGCGGGCAGAGGTAATGAGGGTAAGAACCTCACTTGGAGAGAGAGGGGAAAAGGAGGTTAGTGTGTTGGTGGAAGGAGGGTCTGGTGACCCAGCGGTGAGTAAAGGTGAGTCAGAAAAAGAAGAGCGAATATCATCAACCTTTTTTTCAAAGTGGGTAACAAAGTCGCTTGACAGAAGTGAGGAGGGGGGAGGGGCTTTTGGAGGGTCCAAGAGGGTGGAGAAGATGGAGAATAGTTTTTTAGGATTGGAATAGGAAGATTGGATCTTATCTTGAAAGAAAGTGCTTTTTGCCTGAGAGATCGAAGCAGAGAAAGAGGAGAGGAGAGCTTGATAGGTTAGGAGGTCGTCACGGTGTTTGGATTTCCACCGTTTCTGCTCTGCTGCCCTAAGGACGGTTCTATTAGCACGCAGTGCATCATTTAGCCAGGGAGCAGGAGGGGACTGACGAGCCTGCCGAGATGTGAGAGGACAGAGAGAGTCCAGAGAGGATGAGAGAGTAGAGAGGAGAGTTTCTGCAGCAGAGTTTGGAGGCAGGAGTTGGAACGAGTCAAAGGAAGGGAGGGCTGAGAGCACCGACGAGGCAAAGGTAGAGGGGGAGAGGGAGCGAAGGTTACGGCGGACAAGTGCAGGATGAGAAGAGATTAGTTTGTTATGTTTGGAAAGGGGTAGAGAGAATGAAATGAAGAAGTGATCGGATGTGTGGAGCGGGTTTACAGAGAGGTTAGAAGTAGCGCAGTTCCTTGAGAATATGAGATCAAGGACATTGCCAGCTTTATGAGTCGGTGGGGACGGAGACAGTGAGAAAGCAAAGGCGGTTAACAGAGATGTTAGTTCGTCTATCTTCCCCGTCTGGAGGTTGAAGTCTCCGAGAAGTACAGCGGGAGGGCCAGTTTCAGGGATGTGTGAGAGGAGATTATCTAATTCCTCCAAGAAGTCCCCCAAGGCGCCTGGTGGACGGTAGAGAACAACAATGGTTAACTGTATAGGATGGGTTACTGTGACGGCATGGAATTCAAAGGTGGAAGGAGTGAAGTTAGGTAGCTTGAAGAGGGAAAAGCTCCATTTGGGAGAGAGCAGGAGACCAGTGCCACCTCCTCTGCCAGTGGGTCTGGGTGTATGGGAGAAGGAATATGCAGTGGAGAGAGCTGCTGGGGTGGATGTGTTGGATGGAGTAATCCAGGTCTCAGTGAGAGCAAGGAAATCCAGAGACTGCAGGGAGGCGTAGCCAGAGATGAAGTCAGCCTTAGGAACAGCTGACTGGCAATTCCACAGGCCACCTGAAACTAGATGTTGGATCTCAGTGGAGCATGTGGGATAGACGAGAGCAGGCCGGTTATATCGATTTCGAGATACACAGGGCCAGTGATAATTGCGAGAAGACACATGAACAGGAATGGAGAAAATACACATGATTATAGCATGAAGGGCTAAACAACAAAATAAAATAAAACAAAATAAAAACACCAGCGATACTTAGCTCAATCAAAGTAGGATTTGCCTCCTCTTTGCCTCCCTCGGGACTCCCGCAGGACTCTAATGTCTTTGCCAGTCTGACGCTGAAGCTGAAGCTGACGCTCCAGGAAAGTGCTACCTAAAATGGACACCTGATTGCTGAGTTCTCACAGCTGTGGGGCAACGTCCTTTTAATTAGTTAACTCTGCAGCTGGTGGCCCTCAAAAGGAAATCTAGACTGGCTTCCTCCTGATGTGTTATTGTCTTTGAAGTCAATTACATTAAACCCTAAATTATAAAGTTATGAGTTTAACCCTTAATACAGTTACACCTACTCAATAAAGCTCTTAGTATTCTACAAATGTTTAAATCAAAGTTAACCCTAGCAGTCAGTTAGTTCACTTTTAAGGTTTCAGTCAAATGACTTTTCCCAAGTTTCTGTCTGACCGATACTGTAGCGGTTTTGAGTTTTAAAAACACAATTCCAGTCAGATCAACTACAGAGTCTCCAGTAGCTTTCTTGTCAAAAACGAGTTGTAATCACTAACATGTTTTTGTACATGCTGATGACAGTGGTAGCTTGACTTGTGCTTTTATCCCTACAGTTTGATTCCATGGTTAGTCAGTAATAGTAATCATTACACAGATTTATCGCTACACCGAGCAAATTTGGGAGTAGAGCAAATATGAGGTTGAGATGATGAATAAACAAAGACAAAGTTCAGCAGCTCTGATCAGTCTTATAAAAGGGAAGTCTCCCTCTGACCTGCCTGTGCTTCCCTCGGCTTCAACCAGGAGAAGGTAAGTAAAAAGATTCAGAGAGCTCATATAACATGTGTATGTAAACACGTTTGAATACTCTTTCAAAAGTGAAAAACTATGTTTGACTTCATATGTGTGAGATGTCCCTGTGTACAACGGAATTGGAAAATATGTAACATCTGCAACGTGTTACAAATGTAAATGTAGAGTTGTTACAAATCACTTTTTATCCCTCTTTGGATGTATTATTTTAAATTCGGGAATTTTAAAAACGATTTAATTTAAGTATTATTTATCAAGAGTTTAATGTATAATGTCAATGAGTTTAACATTCAGAAAAATCTACACATTTTCTGTGTTGTTGTAAATCAAATGTCATTGACAGTAACTGAACAACCCACCTACTTATTAGATTCTAATAAAATAAAAATATTCTAATTTAAAAGTGTTTTAATCCCTGATTGGTGCACAGACACACATGACATTTGCTTTCTAAATAAACCAGTATTCTCAAAACCAATAAAAAAAAATGCAAAGAATTTGCTAAACATGGCGTCTATGTACAGTAGTGTGAAGGACCAGGGTTGCATTCCAATAGTCCATTTAGCTTAGGAACCTTCCTTTCCGGTGAGGGTTGGCCTCCGCCAGGGCTGCGCTTTGTCACCAATCCTGTTTGTAATATACATGGATCGGATTTCGAGGCGTAGTCATGGGGGAGGGGGTCTGCAGTTCGGTGGACTAAGGATTGCACCACTGCTTTTTGCAGATGATGTGGT